GGGTGGTGGAGGGGGTGGGGGTGGAGTGGGGTGAATTGGGAGAGGTGATAACTCTTCAAGCTTGTCAAGTTTTTGAAGATGCCATGAAGGATTCAAACCGAGTTCTCCTGAACTTGCATTCTACAAACGTGCATTCTACAAACGTGCATTCTACAAACGTGCATTCTACAAACCGAGCTTACTGATCTCAGTTGTGTGAATGTCCCAATCTAAGAAATGAAAAGCACACTTATTCTGTTCCTTATGTCGCAAAATCATCCCAGAAAACGTTACACTTGGAAGAGTCCTGGCGATAGAAGTAGAAATCAAATAGACTTCATACTTATTCAGAAACGTTTTAGAAATAAAATAAAATCGTCTAAATCACTGCCAGGGGCAGACTGTGATGGTGACCATGTACCAGTCATGTGTAAAATGCAGATAAGACTGAAGAAACAAAACAAGTCAAAGTATCAACCTAAATTTGACATAGGTCTTTTAAAGACAAATCAAGAACTGAAAGAACGTTTCTCCATAGATGTAAGAAATAAACCTCAAGCTTTGGAAAACATTACTAAATCGAAAGAACTATGGAGGAAAATGAAAGACTCAATAATGGATGCTGTGGAAAAAAATACCCCCCCCCCCGGAAGCTAAAAAAGCTAATAAAAAATGGACGACCCACGACATATTAAAACGAATGGAAGAGAGGAGAAAGGCAAAATCAAATGTGGAAAAGTACAACATCTTAAACAGGGAAATAAAGAAACAATGCGACGAAGCAAAAGAAACATGGATAAATGATCAGTGTCAACTAATAAAGAAGTCTATAACCAATACAAAGACAGCAAATACATGCATTCCAGAAGTAAGTGGGATAAAAGGATGCTCAAATACAGGATGCATAAGATCAAAGGGAGGGGATATTTTAAAGGACAACGGGGATGTCTTAAACAGATAGTCAGAATGCATAGAAGAACTTTTCAAAGATAATAGAGGGGAAAAAACCGGTAATAAAGAATGAAATAAATTGACCACCAATACTGAAAGCAGAAGTACAAGCTGCCATTAGGAAAATGAAACAAGGAAAAGCCACAGGGCCAGATAATATTCCAGATGAAGTGATTGTCGTGCTTGAAGAAGTGGGCACTGAAATGACAACAAAGCTCCTAAATGCTATTTATGACAGCGGTGAGATCCCAGAAGATATGATGAATTCGTTTTTATAGCTTTACCTAAAACACCAGGTGCCACTGAGTGTGATATGCATAGAACAATCAGCCTTATGAGTCACTTTACTAAAATATTGCTGCAAGTAATAATGGAAAGATTGAGAAAAAGTGTAAGACCAGAGATTTCTAAAACGCAATTCGGCTTTGTTCCTGACAAGGCCACCAGAAATGCTATATTTAGATTAACAATGTTAATGGAAAGATGTGTTGAAGCTCAGAAAGATCTGTATTTATGCTTCATAGATTATTCAAAGGCCTTCGATAAAGTTAGACATGATGAGCTATTTAAAATACTGGAAAAGCTAGGCATAGATGGAAAAGATCTAAGAATTACCAGAAGTTTGTACTGGGACCAAAACGCTGCTGTACGAATTAATGGAGAACACAGTGAATATAAGCAGATACGGCGAGGAATGAGGCAAGGATGTGTTATGCCACCAGACCTCTTTAACATGTACAGTGAAACAATCCTTAGAAACATAAAAGAATGTCCAGGTCTCAAAGTAAACGGAGAAAAAATAAGTAACATCAGGTATGCAGATGACACAGTTTCAATAGCAGGCTCCGAAAAGGACCCATAATTGCTTCTCTATACTGTTGTAACAGAAAGTGAACGAAAAGAATTCATGCTGAATGTAAAGAAAACTGAATGCATGGTAATATCCAAAAAAGCTGCAAATCCTAGTTGTAATCTCATTACCAAAGGTGAACAGATCAAACAAGTCCAACAGTTTAAATATCTAGGATATATGATAACATCTGATGCCAAATGTTTCACAGAAATGAAAAGGAGAACTATACTGGCTAAGGCTAGTTTCAATAAATTGAGCCCAATCCTGAAAAATGGAAACATCTCAATGAACACCAAAATGAAAGTCCTGAAATGCTATGTTTGGTCAACCCTTCTATATGTCTGTGAATGCTGGACAATCACTAAAGACAGTGAAAATAAAAGAGAAGCAACAGAAATGAGGTTTTTTATACGGGGTGCCCACTACGGATGGGATCGGCCGATCAGCCCGATCTCCCGACTCGATCGCCTAAAAAACAAACGTGTTTGTTTTCAGTTTCAGGCGATCGAGTCGGGCGATCGACCCGATCCAGCCGTAGTGGGCACCCCGTATTAGGAGACTGCTAAGAGTATCGTGGGAGGAAAAGAAATCAAATGAGGTAGAGTTTGATGAAGCCCACGTGAGACGCTCAATGTTAAAAACAATCAGGAAACGACAAATGCAGTTTTGGGGACACCTGAATAGACTTAAGGGTCTTGAACATCTAGCTCTCACTGGCAAAATTGAGGGCAAGCGAGGCAGGGGTAGGCCCAGAACAACATACTTAGGGAACCTAAACAAATGGGTAACAGGGAAAGCTCAGGGAAACACAGCTTTTTTTTAGAGCATCCGAGCAAAGGAATTAATGGAAAACCATGATCGCCGATGTCTGACGCAGATCTGGCACTAGATGATGATGATGTCGAATAAAATCCAGTTTTTATTATATGTAACCAGTGGGTCCTTGAATGTTACAAATGAGTATACGCCAGGGTATATTATTATGAAAATGATAGATGTAGTACGTGAATGTATATGGATGTGAGAGAGAGAGAGAGAGAGAGAGAGAGAGAGAGAGAGAGAGAGAGAGAGAGGGAGTGTGTGTGTGTGTGTGTGTGTGTGTGTGTGTGTGTGACGGAGAGAGAGAGAGAAAGAGAAAGAGAGAGATAGCGAGAGAGAGAGAGGGAGAGAGAGAGAAAGACAAAGAGAGAGAGAGAGAAAGACAGAGAGAGAGAGAGAGAGAGAGAGAAAGAGAGAGAGAGAGAAGAGGAGAGAGAAGGATAAGAGGTGTGTTGATTGTATAGTTTTTGTCGACAGCACATCGACGATAAAAAGAGAGTATGATGATAAGAGACTTAATTTTATTTAAAATCGACCTCGATTACTAGACCCTCAACCCCCCCCCCTCTCTCTCTCTCTCTCTCTCTCTCTCTCTCTCTCTCTCTCTCTCTCTCTCTCTCTCTTTATATATATATATTATATATATAATACTTATGGTAGATAGTTAAAACAGGCAGATAGATAGAGAGGGGAATTCAGAGAGCGAGATAGATCGAACGATAGATAGATAGATAAAGAGAAATAGAGAGAGAAATAGAGAGGCATAGAGAGAGAGATAGCAGGAGAACAATAGAGAGAGAGAGAGAGAGAGAGAGAGAGAGAGACAGAGAGAGAGAGAGAGAGAGAGATAGCAAGAGAATAATAGAGAGGAAAAATAGCTGTAAAATCAACAGTAACAACAATATAATATACAATAGCATCACCAATATGAAAAGTAAAATCAGAAACAATGCAAGATGAGTGAGAAATACCTGAAGAAAAAAGCTCTGTTTAAAGCCATATTGTGTAGATGGATAAGAGCAGTCCTGTTCCTGTACCAAACCCTCGTCAAGAGCTCGTTATAATATGGCAGCTGGGAGACCGCATCCGTCGGCAGGGTCAGCTGATCCTTGCTCTTAGAGATACAGTTTTTTCCGTCTACAGTACTGAACTTTTCATTCAGCAAGTCGAATTTATCGTAGCCCATCCACTGAAACTCACCCTTGCCATGTACGTGAATGAAGCTCATCCACACGGCGAGGACTGCGATAGCGAATAGGACACGAAACATTGTGCTGGGGAATCCCGATAATTTGATGTACGGATTTGGTTAGATGTGTGATGTCGAGTGCAAAATGCTGATGCAAAACAACGAATTTTCCCCTAAGTTCTTATTGAGAATTTGGAATTTTAACAGCAAAGGATTCAGTTTTCGTGTTCTAGATGTCGATGTTTCTTGTGCAGGCGATGTTGATGACGATGATTCAAACACTCTCGACAGCGGGGGAGATTAATTCAATTTCAGACGAATGCCGCAATCTTCAACATATCATACGCAGAGCTCCCACAGTGTTGTCAAAAAATATGTCGAACAAAGATGACTTTGTCAGTTGTTGTAGGCAACGTCTCAACGGTATAGACAATGAATAATATCCATGTACTGAATGACAGCTTCTTTGCAAGAAGAGATGAGAATGTGATCCTCGCTGGGAGCTGATGAAATGTTGGAGACTCCAGACGGGTGTGTGGTTAATGTTGTAGTTTGTCCAGATTTCCTAGTTGCATTGCCTGCAACTATTAACTATTAAATCCTTTCGAGCTGTGGAAAGACGTAGAATACTTACATTATAATCTGTACATATGTTAGCTAACAATAGACAGAAAGATTTCTGTTTAATATCGTACTAAACAGATCCAGTGCACACATACAGGAGGTCAAACATGACTAATGATGGAGTAGGAGATATGGACAGTGAATCTCACATGTACACAATGCGATTATGTGATGAGAGAAAGCCCAGCATGTCCATGGACACATTTTTTTCAGATGGTTGTAAGAAAAGTTAATACTGACAAAAAAACCAAAACCAAAAACAAACACCAAACCCCTAAACCCTCTGAAATACCACCCCCCCCCCCCTTAAAA